TATGAAAATAGTTGTGAGTGGTATGGTTATTTGTCAGGAGCAATGTGTTATAATGAAATGAATTCTAGACTGAGGGTCAGGACAGCTGGGCACTGGTCTAGGCACTGGTCTAGGAGGAGAAAAGTAAATTAATGTTTACCAATTCTGTTACAGCACTAGGCACTTTACAACCATTTGCTTATCCACTCCTTTCAATAAGCCCAAAATTTAGGTATATAACCAACTCTAGTTTACAGAGGAAAAAGCTGAATCTAGAGAATTTGATTCCTGGCTTATCATGGAGTCTGAATAAAACCTTAGCACTCATTCCAAAGCTTCTGTGTTCTTAACAGTATAATCTGTATGCATGTCATATAATAGGTGTGTCTTCAATTATTTAGGGTTCAACCAGAGAAGCAGAACCAGGCAAGCATATGTGTGTATGTACATGTAGGTGGTAAATATTTGTTCAGGAAATTGGCTTACACAATTGTGGGGGCTGGTTAAGCAGTCTCTGAAAGGATGTTGTCACCACATCCAGTGCTGGAGCTTGAATTCCTCAAGGCAGGTGATCATAAAGGGAAGATCATGAGCATGCTAGAAGCAATAAGCCCAGGGTGGAATCCCATGAGGACAAATTGAGCCCTGTTTCCATTCTTGTTCCCTCTGACCTTGGTGACAAAAGTATCCTGAAGTCCTGAAGAAGCTGGGCCCTTCGTCATAGAGCTAAGCACATATGCCTGGCCCAGGAGTCAGAGAACCTGAAGGAGAACCCAGGGGAAGGTGAAACAATTGCAGACCCATTTGATGCGTCACATCAATGAGCTGAATCAGCATCAGTGATGAAGTGTGTTGAGCTATAAAGTGGCTGCTCTCTCCCTCTGCCCTTCTATTTTCCCAAGAATCTTCCCTGTGGCCCCCTGTGCCCCCCTTACTGGATACAAGAGACAGGGAATTCTGGGAAATGTAGTTCAGCCTATCCAAGCTGACACATTACAAAGCTGTTGCATGGGTGCTCAATGCATATTTATTGAATGAATGAATGAACAAATACTGTGGTGCTTCTCTTGGAAGTTCTCTGGGAGTCAGAACACCTAATCCTGGCTCTGCCTCTTACAAGCCAAGCAATTTTGAACAAGTCACTTAACTCTTTGCATCTTGGTTTTCTTATTTGTAAAACTCCAAGAATAATCCCTGTCCTGCCTATTTAGTAGGACTTTTACAGGGATCAATTGAGATAATCTGAATAAAAGCACATTGAACATTATAAAGCATAAAACAAATGTGATGTAGTATTGTATTTTAATTATTCTTTTTATTAATAAGTCAGCTTCCTAATCTATCACATGGGATTAATAGTTTGTGGCCCATTTACATTACAGGTATGCCAGGAAGGATAAAGTAGATGGAATATGTAGATGCATTCTAGCAGCTGTCCCGTGACATATTCTTCAAAGTCAAGGAAATTGTCATTCAGCACTCAAATACATTTTCACATTGTGTTTTAGTTTTTGGCTAAATGGCTTAGAGGGACAAGTGTGTAACTGGAGCTGTTGGTGGCTCTGGGAGATAAAGAGCAGTGGCCATTCCTTGGATGGGAGTTGTGGACAGTGGATAAGGTTTCTGTCCTATAAATCTGGGCTTGCATTTCATAGCAGCCAAACTTGCTCAGCAGAGTGAAGAAATCCCTGCGAAAGTTCTTGGTGAAGATGGCATAAAGGAAGGGGTTGGCACAAGAGTTGATGGGGTAGAACAGAACCAGAAGGATCTTTGCCTTGGATACAGTGATGAGGGGCACCTTGAGGGAGGCAGAAATGGCAAAGAAAGAAATGGGCGCCATGCAGAGGAAGTCAGTGAAGATGAGCATAGCCATGCGCTTGGCAATCTTGGTGTCACTAGAGGAGGACATGATGTTAGGATTCCTCACTGTGAGGTAGATGTGAGTGTAGCAGCCACAGATGACCACAAAGGCCAAGACATTGAGGACAAGGAGGGACATGACATACAGCTGTGACAAAGGGCTATCAATATCCATGGGCAGGCAGATGCTCACCTTCATGTAGCTGCTGACTCCAAAGATGGGAAAGAGGGCAGCTATAAAAGCAAAGATCCAGCCCATCACCATGACACTGGCAGCATGGCGGAGCTGCACCTTGCAGTCCAGCTGCATGGCGTGGGTGATGGTATGCCATCTTTCCAAGGTGATGGCTGTCAGNGTCAGAACACCTAATCCTGGCTCTGCCTCTTACAAGCCAAGCAATTTTGAACAAGTCACTTAACTCTTTGCATCTTGGTTTTCTTATTTGTAAAACTCCAAGAATAATCCCTGTCCTGCCTATTTAGTAGGACTTTTACAGGGATCAATTGAGATAATCTGAATAAAAGCACATTGAACATTATAAAGCATAAAACAAATGTGATGTAGTATTGTATTTTAATTATTCTTTTTATTAATAAGTCAGCTTCCTAATCTATCACATGGGATTAATAGTTTGTGGCCCATTTACATTACAGGTATGCCAGGAAGGATAAAGTAGATGGAATATGTAGATGCATTCTAGCAGCTGTCCCGTGACATATTCTTCAAAGTCAAGGAAATTGTCATTCAGCACTCAAATACATTTTCACATTGTGTTTTAGTTTTTGGCTAAATGGCTTAGAGGGACAAGTGTGTAACTGGAGCTGTTGGTGGCTCTGGGAGATAAAGAGCAGTGGCCATTCCTTGGATGGGAGTTGTGGACAGTGGATAAGGTTTCTGTCCTATAAATCTGGGCTTGCATTTCATAGCAGCCAAACTTGCTCAGCAGAGTGAAGAAATCCCTGCGAAAGTTCTTGGTGAAGATGGCATAAAGGAAGGGGTTGGCACAAGAGTTGATGGGGTAGAACAGAACCAGAAGGATCTTTGCCTTGGATACAGTGATGAGGGGCACCTTGAGGGAGGCAGAAATGGCAAAGAAAGAAATGGGCGCCATGCAGAGGAAGTCAGTGAAGATGAGCATAGCCATGCGCTTGGCAATCTTGGTGTCACTAGAGGAGGACATGATGTTAGGATTCCTCACTGTGAGGTAGATGTGAGTGTAGCAGCCACAGATGACCACAAAGGCCAAGACATTGAGGACAAGGAGGGACATGACATACAGCTGTGACAAAGGGCTATCAATATCCATGGGCAGGCAGATGCTCACCTTCATGTAGCTGCTGACTCCAAAGATGGGAAAGAGGGCGGCTATAAAAGCAAAGATCCAGCCCATCACCATGACACTGGCAGCATGGCGGAGCTGCACCTTGCAGTCCAGCTGCATGGCGTGGGTGATGGTATGCCATCTTTCCAAGGTGATGGCTGTCAGAGTATAGACTGAGAGCTCACTGGCAAAGACAGTGAAAAAGCCAGCAGCATCACAACCTGCTCCAGTTTGCCAGTCAATGGCATAGTTGTGGTATTGGCTCTTGGTGTGGATATCGACTGATGCTATGAGCAGCAGGTAGATTCCAATGCAGAGATCAGCAAAGGCCAGGTTGCACATAAGGAACCGGGGGACCGTGAGTTTGTACTGGCTGGAAATCAGGATCACCAGCACTATGATGTTCCCAGTGATGGCCAGGATGCTAATAAACCATATCAAAACCCTGAGGATGTTGTACCCCATGATATCTTCACATGGGTTGAACGCATCTGGCTTAGGAGAGCAGGTTACATCAGCCACTTCATTGCATATGTCATAGTCAAATTCACTGTACATCATATCAAATCCTCTGCCGTAACTGGACTCCTTGTCATCTGCCAAAGAGACTCTCTGATCCCTAACTTGAGTTATATCAGGTTCTTGCCTTAAAATAGATTCGTTGCAAATTGGATGAAGCTCAGAGCTGAAAACAATACAAAAAGAAATAGAATCAACATCCTAGATCCAGAATGGCAAATATGTCACTGTCTTTGCCCATGGTAGAAACAGTGGTGTTTCTTCCTGAGAATTTTTTCCTTCTAACATCTCATCTGCCCTTGAGGCTAAGCTCAAGGGTTAATGCTGCTTACTGTAAATGAACAGAACAATGTGTGTATGTATCCTAGAGTTGGATGGCCCACTGGGGAAACCATCTGGCCACAACCTGAATGTGGGGAGGCAGGCGCCTGGGACTAGCTGAGCCTTGTTGCTAAGTGCAAATAATTTACAGACCTGGTATCAGCTCTACCCTTTTCCTTCCCCCATGTCCATACAGCCATCTCTTAATATGCCTAGTTAGGACATACCCTTATTCCTCTACTCTATACTCCAATCACTGCAAGATCCAGACTGTTTTCTGACTCAAATGAGAACATATTTGCGTCTTTTATATATATAAATTAGCAGTTCAGGGTCTGTAGTTAGTTACCAGCCACCCCTGTTCCTTGGCTCTTTGGTACTCAGGCTATTGGAGAGCCAGCTAATTTTCCTGAAATGTTACCAGGGTCCTCCCGTTCTTTATTATCTCACTCCCCAGTGGCAACAATACGAGTAGGCCTCAGGCATGTATTTGTCTGCAAGGTAAGCCCAGTTCTCTCATAGTAAATAGTTCCCTAGTGGGTGCCTCGAAGAGCAAATGCAGGTTGCAAAGAGGACTAATTCGTACTAAGATTGTAATTCATCCCCTGGGAAGACTGGCTCTTCTTGGGCTCACTTTACTGTCTCGGTTTTCCCTTTAAAACCAAATGTACAAGAGGCCTTTCCAACAGGATAGAAGTACTTACAGAGGGATTTGAATAAAATCCAAAGGATAAATATTTAACCCAGGAGTATGTCCGTAAATATTCTACCCAGAGTATCCCATCAATATGCTGTATGTAGAGAGACTGAAGGTCTTCTGTTTTGTTGCAAAGCCTTAAGAAATGGGAATGTTTTACATTGGGACTCTCTCTGGGTGGAAGAAAATTACATATACACACCCCTTCCTCTCCCTCCCTTTCCAAAGGAGCAAGTTTACAGCAATGTTAAGTCACTGTATTTTTCTTAAACTTTATCATAATCTCTGATATATGTAGGGAAGTATTAAAACCCTTTGAAAACCCTCATTGAGAGAGGTGGCTGGGGGAGTGGAGGAGAGGTAGAGATGCCACTCGACACTGAGGGTGAGTGCTTGATAAATGTCCCAACATACGTGGCCTGAACTTTACCCCATCAACTGCAATGAGAAGTTTTTTTCCCTTCTCTTATCTCTGGGAAGTGGACTGAATTGCCAGGATATCATTTTTCCTTGGCCCAAGGTTTTTTTTTTTTTTTTCCTGGAGAACGTATCATTTTTTGTTTTAAAGACTGGTAGGCTTTTCAAATCATTCACAGGTTGCACTAAGGAGGCTAAATGATTAACATACACATTAATTGAAAGTGAATGGACCGAGAGCCCAGAAAATCTTTTGGTTTAGTCAGTGATCTCAAGAAAGGTGAGGCCAACTCATAAAATGGAGGAGACAAGAGGGCCACTCTGATCCTTACTCTAACTCCCGACTCCTAAGTCCTGTCCCTGGATTAGCAGCATCCCAATTCTAGGAACAGAAAGTTAAGTAACCTGGTATGTGCTGACTGCAGTTTGGTTCATTAGAATAAGATCTGACAACCATCTGGAGACAGTCTTTACTTCCTGGGGCTTAATAGTTGGCTTCTGTGAAGATCCTTTTTGTTGATACTGCTACCAAAATATTTTAAATATTGATGCTTCCCTTTCCTGAAACAGAAGTGACCCAACGATATGAGGTTGAGGGAAAGGTAAATAATGTATGTCTCTGAGATAAGAACAAAAATGAAAGTGGAAACTAAGGGAAATTAAGTCTTGCTTCTGCCATACCCTGGAAAATGCTAAGTATCACAAACAGTTGTGAATTCAGTTTAGGGTCAGTTTAAAAAGTAGTATTCTTGGACCCCAAGCAGTCAATGAACAGATACTTAGATGGTGGCATGGAAGAGTGTCCCAGAGCCTGAGCTTTGGAGACAGAAAGGCCAGGGGGTTTGGATCTGAGTTTGGTCAGTATTGTTCAAGTTATTTAGTACCTTTCAGCCTCAGTTTCTGCCTCTGTGAGAAGGAAGTAATAATTATATTCCCTTTGTGAGAATTAAATGAGATGAAGGTCTAAAGTATTACAGTGCCTGGCAGTGAGTACTCAGCAAGTACCAGCACATGAAGACAGATGGCGGTGTTCACTGAGTCCTTGGTGGGTCTAGGCCCTGTGCGGGTACTCAGAAGCATACCCCACAGTGCATGAATTTAAAATCTAGCTGTGAAGAAATGGCCTAAAGACAAGAAAAATTAAAGAATAAAACGAGATCAAAATAACATGAGCTGAGTACAGAAATATGACAAGGAAATATCTGGTTCAATGACAAATGACACAGCTTTTCAGCAAGAGTCCAGGAGGGCCATTGGCCAAAACCTCACAGTCACAAGGGCCTCAAATAATGATTTGGGCCTTATTTCCAAATGAGACTTAGAAGAACAAGTTCACCATACAACTTTAAACTCGGATCCCATTCCCAGACCACACCTGCTATGGTGTACAATGAAATGACACTATTTTAGGAAAAAAATCCTGAGATTATCTTCTGAACAGCATAGTTATTTGGATTGTGTTTGTGTATGCAAATTTATTAAATGTAAAAACCAAACACCCACTGCAATGGTTGTTACTCTGTTTGGCATGTTGTGCAAGTGGCATGGGCTTCTCTGTCCCTTGCTGTACCCCGACAGGCCCTGATGGTAAGTTACAACAGGCACACATATGGGGTGAGAGCTAGGTGGTCTGGAGGGATCAGGGAAGTTGTCATGTCATGTAACAGTGTAGGGCAGACCTGGAGATTTCTGTTTGGGAGAGCTCAGAGGCTCTGTCTATACTACCAGGAGCTGGCAAGACCAGAGGAGTCTGAGCTGCACAGAAAGGGAATAAATTCCTGTGGCATGTTGGCATTGGGTCAGACCACATACTGCTAGCTGCTTTTACAGTGATCTTAACATATTTTGGGATTTCTCCTGAGGGGTATTCAGTTCCAGGGACTTGGCAGTGAATTGGTGTCTTTCTCACCCCAGTTAGAAATTCCTGTCTAGAATATAAAAGAGGTTAGCCTTCTGTCTTAGCCCAGGCCCTTAAGAACTCTGGTTTTCTGGGAGAAATTCCCTGGCCCTTGAGCTAATGTGTAAGGCATGCCTGATTCTGGATAGTTTTTCCCAAGGATGTGTGCTAATTCTGAAAAGCAGCCCTTTTTTCTGCAAATCCTTCAAATTGGTCTGGGTGTAGACGCCCAGTAACTTTGAACACACTTTAGAGTGTACTGTTGTTTTTGTTGTTTGCTCTTGAGCAAGGGATATGTTCACATGGCAGGTCAATGCAAAAGCTTGAATAACAGAGGAGACTGTAAGGAGTGAAGTACTATCACAGGGAAGCTTGTTAGTGCTAGGCTGCTAGGTGTTAGTAGTCAAAAGGCATCACTTGATTGAGTGCAACTACGTGGGGTGTGTTCTATCAGTTCAGGGGAAGCTGAGAGTTTTGAGAACTGCTGCCATTCAGTAAGTTCTTACCTCCAGAGGATCCTTTAAACATCTGGAACATGTGCAATCTCCAAAGCTGCTCCCTCTCTACTCTCTCCAGATCTTGTCTATGATTACCTCAACTTTTTATTCGGTTAGCTACTGGGACTTGGCTCTGTTTAGATTATTCTCCTTAAATCTGAGCTTCTTTGAACCTGGCCTTCCTTAAAAGCTGAAGCAAAGAGATGTCTCAATCTCTGTCTTTCCTGTGAGGTGCTGAGAGTTGAAGGTGGATTAGACAGGTTTAGACTGGTTGGGGTTGTGTCGTAAATATGTACATCAGCCTCTGATTTGGTGTTTATGTTTCTTCCCTCCTAGGTTGACTTTGATAGTAGTAGGCTGGGACGTTTATAGGGTGCAGAGTTTGGAACTTGGAGAATAAATCCATACTGGTACAAAGGAAAGAGGGAACAAATATTAAGCACCAACTATGAGTCGGGCACCATGCTTGGTGTCTTTTATGCCTCTCATTTAATATTTGGTAGATACTCCACCATGTGGGGAGCCCTCTCCTGTGAGCCCATTTTCAGAGAAATTAGAAGAGCCCAACCATCCCACATGGTCCACAAAACTGAATCTTTGATTCAGAATGTGCCTAAGGGCTTCAGTTATGGAGATCTCTCTGCAAGTGGATTCTCATGTCACAGATATGTAGAAATTGTAGACTAAGCTCTACATGGGGGGAATGTCCAAACCGAGCTTCAAGGGGTGAACACAGGAAGACTCACATTTTCCGTCTCCAGTTTGCAAAGGCACAGCAGTGACTGGGGTAGGTGAGGCTGGCCTCCATGAGGGTGACAAACTTTTCCAGACTAGGAAGCTTTTTTAGGTTGTAAGTCGACCTGGCCCTCAACTTCTTAAGATTTTCTAAGCCATAGCTAGGTAGGGAGTGGATCCTTGTTCTTGAAATATCTCTACAAGAAAAAAAATAAAATAAATATAATAAGATTACCAAGGGCCTAAAATTTTCTTCTCTTGGTTTGCAGGCAAAATAGCAGACACTCTAGTGATACTCTTACATGGGTGAAAAGGGAGACTTCAGTTCATCCAACACAACTTGGTCAGAACAATATTCGTCTAATGGGCCGTTTGGTTTGGGTAGGGGTCCTGGCCCTTGTGTTCCAGTAGGAGGAGCTCGATAACAGACCACCCTGATTCCTGGATACACTTGCATCCTGGCTGATTTGGGACTTAACTGTCTCCGGTGAGTAGAATTAACCACCTCCCTTCTACAGTCTATCTATTTGTACCCACTAACTTACATAGGGCCGAGAGATTGAGACCATTTGCCTCCACCATAAAACTAGTTACACAAATATTTCTGATGAGCTGGGGTGGCATCTGTGGCCCAATTTCAGAAAAGGGTGAGAAGAGAACTTATCCCATGTTCTCCAGGCTCCTAAGAGGAGCCAGGCAGGCAGATGAGGAGCCAGGCAGCCTCAGCACAAAGTCCGAGTGGCAGCAGAGTGGTGGTTATGAACTTGGTGTCGACAGAGAACTTGTCTGCATGTGGACCCCACCCCTCTACCTATTAGATTTGTGACCTTGGTCGTTATGTCACTTCTCCGTGTTTCAGTTTCCTCAGCTGTAAAATGGGAAGATAAAAATCATATCTACCTCCAAGGGTTATTGTGAGCATGAAATGAGTTAAGAGTACATAAAGAACTTCCTGGCCAACAGATAGCATTTAATGACTGGTAGCTGTTGTGAGTAAACATTTTATGTATAGAGAAAGACAGTTCTTGCTTTGTAGGAGGGTCTCTGCCTGGGTAAACAAGCAGAAGTCTAACAGGAGCCAGCACAAATGGATGGTCTCACCAGGTCCCTGTCCCTGGGG